ATCAATCACCCTCACTAGCCTGGTAATTCAGAGGCATGAGGACCCCAAAGTGGCCAGGTGGCAGTCTTAACTTTCAGTTCAATGGAATCATTGTTGTGTCTCCTGGTGGATTCATTCCTCCCTTTGGAACTAAAACCTCTAGGCCAGCAGAGCATAAGGTCACAGGAGCAGGACACAAAAAAATTTTGCTAGTGGGTCACTAGAGGTAATGATATGACATCGCTCCCAATTTTGTCCCTTGATTCCTATACCTGTGAGTCTTGGCTATGGGAGAAACAGCACCGTATGTTGGGTGCTGATTCAGAGCACATTCAGCCTCGTCAAGAACCTGGCCCCAGCCCCGCAAGAGATCACCGCCTAGCTGACACAGTAACTCAGTCTTCAAAGGGCTTTTGCACCATTCTGTAAATCCAGATGCTTCAGGTGGTGAAACATGGTGGTGAGACCAGTAAACTCCCTGGTCATGGGCCCACTGCCCACACCCCATTTGCTGTGGTACGTAGGGCAGTGCCAGCTGCTGTAACAGAGCCACTTGAAAATCTCAGTGGCTTCACATGCCAGATCCTTATTTCTTGCTGACTTACAGTTCAGTCACCAGTGGAGTGAGGTTGGGTCCAAGGCTGATGGGGACTGTGCCGTCTTCAACACCTGACGACAGATGAGGAAAGAAGGAAAGAAAATGGAGGGTCAGAGTAAAGTTCTTATAGCGCAAGCACGGAGTTGGTATATCTCCCTTCTCTCCATGTGCTTTGGCCACGACTCCGTTACGTGATCACAACCAACTGCAAGGGAGGATGAGAAATACAACCCAGTGCACATCCAAGGAGAAGGGCCGGTGGGCTAAGAAATGGAAGACCTGCCTCTGACACAGAATATTTCCATGAGAAACCTTCAGAATGCAGACTGTAGGATGCTAGCTCTGGAAGGGATCGTGGAGGTCATGTATCCCAGTGGTTTTCAACCGGGGCAGTATCGCCCCCTTAGGGACCACACAATTGAAAATGTGTGATGCTCAATGGAATTGTAATAGATAAGCATATCGGGGGTGGGAGGGC